CTCTGGCCATTACGTGAAATCATGCATCAGACAGAAATTAGAAAAACCTAATTCACTACTGTAACCATAAATGAATTTATAAGTACTTAGGTTAATAAACAGTTTATAATATACATGGCTTTGTTGACTTCAGTTTAAGAAGCACAAGACGCTAGAGATCCAGGATTCTGAATTTCCAGACTGATAAAATTTAAGTATATGTCAAAATGAACACACCCAAATCACTTAACATTTTTTGTTAGATTTGCTGTTTTAACTACACTCGAGTCTAATTAACAATATAATGGTGTAATTTCTCGAATTAAAGTGAATATAATTTTTAAAAAATACACAGAGATATAAACATACGACACATTATAAAATTGGTATATAAGTGAGTCTGATTATCTAAACGAAGATATGTTGCTTTGAATAAATTATAACAAAACCTTGGAAAATAATATACGCATACGTTGCAAGCAGACACTCCAACGTTTGAACTTCAATTTTGAAGGCGATTGCTAATGTCAGAGATTGCATAACGTTCAGAAACCATAAGGTCAAATCGGGTGGTTATTTTTCGGTGCAACGAAAAACAATGTGTGTCAAATACTCACTCTGGTTGGTTTTGAAAATGGGCGTGATTAACGCTGTCTTCGTCAACTTTCTGGATCCCCATGTTTGTAATATCCAGTTTAATTTTGCAACAGACTCTGACACAATCCCAGGACTCTGATATTCTGCGGCACCCGGCAGAAGATATATTATCTCACTCAAGTGTCACTGTGCAGCCATACAACAATGACGTATTCGGCTGTTACCACCACCCCTCTGAATACTAATAAAAACTATCGGTTATTATACGCACAAGAACATAATCATTTTTAAAAGCAAGCTTTTAAATTATATTTTTTGAATTAAATATTTCTGCCTATTTGTATTTTGATAACTTGTGCTTTTTTATTTCCCATTTTTTTTTCTCTCCTCAAACCAGTCAAATTAACCCGGAAGTAAATATTAATTTACACAACCTTTAACCTTTTAGCATTCATCCAACAGAAGTGAAGACGACGTAAAGACGGAATAAAAAACATTTCTAAAACAGAATAAAAAATAATATCTATAAACATTAATGTAAACCAGTTATTTAAAATTGTTTTACTTGATTTTCATAAAAAAACTTAACACAAAGATGATAATTAATATGCTCTAAAAATTTAAATAACTAATCATGAGTAGAGAAGTACCGTGCAAACAGACAAAGGTCACGGGACCATTACTCGATTGACGGTCGTACAATTCTGTGATGTTTTCCTGAATTTGTCTTTAATTTAAAGATTTCTAGTACATTCTTACAAACATGGGGAAAGTAGGAGCAATATTATGGACGATATTTGCAATTTTTGTCACCATAATTCTTATAATACGTAAGTATTTTCTGTGTATTTTTGACAGACGATTTTGGAAACAGTAGATTCTTCGTTCAAATCATGTATAATTTCTGCGGGTACCGCTGTAGTTGCTTGAATCATACCACCTTATTCCATGTATTAGTTTTAATTATTATGTCCGTTTTGTTTCAGTTCTATATTATCTGTTATCAGGTGAAGGATACAGGTTTGATTTTGGATGGTAAGATTATATGTATTACACATTTTCAATATTTGTATTAGTAATTTTAAATAATAATTCTAAGAGTCTAATTATTTTTAGAATTTTATAAATTATAATTAAAAGCAGGCCATGTTATAGTGTAAAGTGTGGGGTATGAGGGATATATATTAACAGCTGATACAATTTGTATGACTTGGACATGGAGGTAACCTCCATGGTTTAGATGAAACATTTTCTGTCATTATAAAGGTCACTTGTACAAAGGTTTACTATAAACACTATAAAACTGGAGACAATCATTTAGATCGTAAATGTAATCAGCTCAAGACATTTGCTAAACAATATATAGGATAACAGGCAATGCCTAGAGGGAGCAAATGCTGCTGAGCTGTTTATTGATTTACTAAAAATGATTTTTGATCATGAATGAGCTGTCTCACCTTGCATAATTTGTGAAGTGCATCATTTTCAAATTCTTAGGTTTAATATTCAGATTTATTCCATATTTTTTTTCAATATGTAGCATGTTATCTGAATAGCTCACTTTATGGGCGATATCGACCTTCAGCTACTCTCACTGAATTCATTATCATAGTTGTAATTTTGTATTTATCTTTCCCCTAAATATTTATACCTCCCTAACCCTTACCCTCAACCATCCAGCCCCCCCCCCCCCCAATACAATATTATATGGCCTCCAGATAAATACGTGTCCTGAAGAGGGGCATAGACAATTAAAATGGGAGGACACTGAAAGGGGTTTGAATTACAGATATACATCAGGGCAATAATTTCCTGTATCACGCCTGGCCTATATCAATCAACCTTTATGGACTGGATACAGCTTTTGCTGCCCTTGGTCGTACAGCTTACATGTCCTTGCAAGCTTCTGGTGCTCCACTGCACTACCTTGGAACGCAAAAGCCATATCCAGTCTGTAAAGAATAAAAGGGATGCAATATTAATAAAGCAAATACTGTTTCTTATCATTGGATTTCTATGAAATTGACTAATGTTGTACCTCACTTTGTTTCAGGTTTCTTGTTTCAATATCACCATACATGTGGGCAAGTGTTGGTGTTGGTCTTTCCATTTCACTCTCAGTTGTAGGAGCTGCATGGTAGGTAAACTTTATTAGGGTGCCATGACAGTACTGATTTGAGAATTTAAAGTTGTAATAAACTAAATTTGACTTGCTGATACTTTCTGCTTGTACCCAACTAGTATTTAACTTCGAAGGTTGAAATTTTGAACTTTTAATGGAACTAAAGACATTTTTATTTTTTGTTTTTTCTTTGTATAAAATTCATTTGCAATAAAATGAACAGCTTAGTTTGCATACAAACTTGCTATGTTATTTAGAATTATTGTTCACCCAAACAACCACATTGTCACACTAACATTATTAACAAATCGCCTAGCTGCCGATACCTTCCACACATATCAGAAATAAATGGGAAAAAAACATTAAGCATTAAGCAAGCAGTGTTACCAAAAATATAATAATTGCAGAATATTTGCAGGCACTGTGAGCTACTGTATCATTTTACTTTGAATGAACTATTGTGTTTGATTTTTAGTAGTTTTTTTGATACAAATGTACTATTGAAAATGCTCAAGTAAAAACTGCATTTCAGGTTCAAAATGACTGACACAAAGTATAAGTAGTGTACTGGTGAGAAATACAGTGCTCCCAACAAAGAAAAATACCAGTATAACAAAATATTCACTCATTCTTATTTTTGCATAATTTTTCTGGGAATTATGAAAAAATAAAACTGTTCAAACAATTTCTAGTTTTTCAGTACATTAACATAAAATTGAAACGTACAATTAAGACATGTTTAAATCAAAATGTCTTCCCTGCTATTTCAAGGTATGTATATTGTAGTGCACCATCTCATGCTTATTATGCTTCTTTCTTGTCATGTAGGGGAATCTTCACCACAGGTGCCAGTATTCTTGGAGCAGGTGTAAAAGCACCAAGGATTAGAACTAAAAATCTTATCAGGTTAGTACTTAAGCATCATTTTCTGTGAATCCATTGCCATTTATGGTATCATTATGGCCATTGTAATCAGTGGTACAATTTGTTTTTTCATAGACAGTGTGATTTTCTGTGAATCCATTGTTATTTATGATATCATTATGGCCATTGTAATCAGTGGTACAATTTGTTTTTTCATAGACAGTGTGATTTTCTGTGAATCCATTGCCATTTATGGTATCAATATGGCCATTGTAATCAGTGGTACAATTTGTTTTTTCATAGACAGTGTGATTTTCTGTGAATCCATTGCCATATATGGTATCATTATGGCCATTGTAATCGGTGGTACAATTTGTTTTTCATAGACAGTGTGATTTTCTGTGAATCCATTGCCATTTATGGTATCATTATGGCCATTGTAATCATTGGTACAATTTGTTTTTTCATAGACAGTGTGATTTTCTGTGAATCCATTGCCATTTATGGTATCATTATGGCCATTGTAATCAGGTGATACAATTTGTTTTTTCATAGACAGTGTAATTTTCTGTGAATCCATTGCCATTTATGGTATCATTATGGCCATTGTAATCAGTGGTACAATTTGTTTTCATTGACAGGTGATTTTCTGTGAATCCATTGCCATTTATGGTATCATTATGGCCATTGTAATCAGTAATACAATTTGTTTTTCACTGACAGTATCATTTTCTGTGAATCCATTGCCAACTATGGTATCATTATGGTCATTGTAATCAGTAATACAATTTGTTTTTCACTGACAGTATCATTTTCTGTGAATCCATTGCCATTTATGGTATCATTATGGTCATTGTAATCAGTAATACAATTTGTTTTTCACTGACAGTATCATTTTCTGTGAAGCAGTTGCCATCTATGGTATCATTATGGCCATAGTAATCAGTGGTATGATTGATGAGTATACAAATACTGATATGGCAACTATCAAACGAAATTACTTTGCCGGTAAGTATATTTTTATTTTCCTGAATGTTTTTTTCAGCCTTGTGGCTTATGGATTGGATTCCATTCATCACATTATCTCAGAAGTTAATGGATGTTTTGTTTTTTTCTCCCAAACTTGGTACATAGTTTATAAATGGTAGTTTACATATGCCCCAGATTTTTTTTACAGTTCAGATACAAAATAGCAGTCTGGCTGCCATATTTGACCAAAATATAGTCTAAAAAACTACATTTTATATGTTTAGAGCATTATCCCCAAGTTGTACTGGCCAATTCTGTTCAAACTTAACATGTGGGTAACACTTGTTGACGTACTGAGGCATCCATTATTTTTCAGATTTTTTCAAAAATTGGCCGACTGTTTCTTACAACTTGAGTGTAATTTATACAGATTTAGTACAGAGGCAGTATATTATTTCCCAAAGATGCAAGTTGATTTTTGTTGAGATTCTATGCAATATGGCTAACTAGCTAATGGTTATTTTGTTTGACAAAATTTTCGTCTATTTTATACATTTTTATACATTTTTGCTTATATTTCAAATTTAAGCTGTTGAATTAGGTTAAAACTTGGTTCACAGAAATGTCACAATAAAATACAAGATGGTTGACTTGCAGCCATAGACCAAATCGCAAATCTAAATCATAATGTATTGTGGAATTGGTAACAGAATCAAACACATTTCTTTCAATTATAAAGCATGTCTAATCTTGTAATCTTATTAAATAACTATCCAACAATGCACAATAATTTGAAATTTATTAACATGTTTTACATTTTGTAAACATAGACATAAGGGACTCGCACATGTTTAATTGTTTGGCAGTTGTCACAAGGTAGGCTAGCGTCCAATCACAGTTGTGATAAGAGGCACGCCTTATTTACCTTGTGTTGTGGGCTCTTTAACACCCTCCCAATTATAATATCAAAATAAGCCAGCTGATTAGTTCGGGGCCCTGTGCATAAATTATTAACGTGCCAGACACAATAAAAATCCAGTAATATCGCAAAAGACGTTTCAATTGTACAACCATTTTACATTATCAATAGTACACAGGGAAACATGAATTCTCTGTACCATAGAAAAATTACCACACATGTCAGCACAAAATAAAGCAGTGGTGCCTCTGTAGGTAACCTATATACTCATCCACAAATTGGAATGATTCAAGTGGGAAAAGCCCTCTCAACATACATAATGACACCACTACCTTATCACCAACAGGAAAGCAAGAAACTGGCTGTTATACAATACAATGAAACTAATGCTATAACAATTTCAGAGCTCCGGAAAATAAGAATACAATAATGTCACCAATAAATAGCACAAATAATTACCAAAAATAATATTCAAATCTCGGCCAATAATCCCTAGCCATGTGTGTGCAATGAGTGCAATAATTATCAGTTTCTGTTGGGCTTATGTAGAAACGTTGCTACATGGAGATGCAGTTTGATATCCCAGACCAGGTTTCTCGTAGCTTAATTTGTAGAACTTGTTGCTGAACACAGAATGTCCATAGAATTGCACGCAGTATACAAGTCTAGTCTTCCACTGTCTCTACACAACCTCCGTCGACTAGACTAGTAACATGCACACTATGTGGAGATGGACTTATTCTCCACTTTCACTCACACCACAACGCTGGCTCTGGCTGCTATCTCTTTTCATAGTGTCTGCCCTCCTGGGCTACATCTACATTTATGTTTTTATAACACTCCCCATCAGCATAGCTGAATTTCGGCAAAGACGCTGGCAATTTCACTCGGCACAATCATTCTTTTGTCATGTACAGTGTATCAATCAATGTGCAAGAACAAAGGGTCTGTGACATTCTCAATGCTTGTTTTTCCCAACCATAATACTACATGTATGCAACTGTTCTGTGTATCATTCTATCCACTGAACTTAATTTTGCAGGTTACTGTTTGTTTGGAGCTGGCCTTACAGTTGGATTTTCCAATTTATATTGTGGTATCTGCGTTGGAA